CTTCCTCAATCGGTCCTTCTTTCTGCCTTGGTATCACAAAGCAGCAGAAGAGTGGAGCGATAACAGGATCAAAGCTCTAGGGAAGTAGATAAGCTACCATGCACCTCCCCCTCTCCCGTCCTGCCTCCCAGGTATCTCTGCCCCTTTTCCCCCCTTCCCATTCCTCCTTCTATCTAATCAGCCTGACCCAGTACTGTAGCACCTGAGGCAATTTGCTGAGGCTGAAGGAGAGAACCCTCAGGGCTGAGCACCCGCAAACAGTGTATCTAGCCACAACAGCTTATAAAGCCCTGGAGAATACCAGCCTGTCTTCCTTTTATTTTGTCTCTGCCCAGGACTTCAAACAATGTAGTGCCTGTACCGGGACAAGTGTTATTATCTGCCTGAATGCTTTTTATAGGTTTGGTCAGGTGGTAAGAAATGGTTTGACACACTCCAGTGTGTATGTCACCAATACTAATATGTTTCGGGATCTTTGCCAGTGTGTTAAAGCCCTCTCTTCATAAGGCTATTTACAATACGTTATATATTCCTAGGACCGAAATCTGAATGTCAATAAACTTTCATTGTGACAGTTTCATTATAACCCTAGGCTCTTTGAAGACGCAGAAATTCTCTAGGTATTACAAATACCAATACCAAGCCTAATTCTCATCCTATAGAAGCAAAGAGAATATTATCATGTCACAATTATTTAGCATTTTAATGCTTTAGTTCTGGTACTTAGGAGACTGCTGAAAGAACAAATGTTCCTTCTATGGAACAGTTTGGAACTTTTGCCATGTTCTATTGAACTCTTTGGAATCTCATTGCATAATTTCACAGAGAAAGGCCCATATAGCCCTCATATTCAGGTGGAAATCTACCGACTGATTTTTTTTCTAGTTTCACAGGCCCTAATATGGTTGGGTAAGTTTACATAAATGCATATACCCAAGGAAACAACACCCTAAGAATGAAGATACAGAACACTGCTAACAACCTAAACAGAATTTCCCTCACTTTCTTTTCCAGTTCATCCTCTCCAAGAGACAGCCACTCTTCTGATTTCCATCTCCGTAGATCAGTTTTACCTGTCCTTGAATTTCACATAAATGGAATCATGCAGTGTGTTCTTTTTTAGTGTGGCTTCTTTTCTCAATAGAATGGTTTTGAGATTTATGCAAATTGTTGCAAATATCAGTATTAGTTCCTTGTTTAAATTTCTGACTAGTATTCCACAGTATGGATTTACTACAACCTGTTTTTCCATTGTTAACACAGGAGCTGGTTGGGCACATGATGGTGCTTCAATAAAACAAAATGTAGCAATTCTTGTTCATTCAAATATGCAATTGGCACGTGGTTTTGCTAATGATTATACCCAGAGCTAAATGTGATTTTCAATCCTTCAATCCTCAAAGGGATGAAAAAGAGCATGAGAAAAGCAGGAATCACTTGAAAGTCTAATTCTATGAAGAAAGCACAAGGAGCATTAGGCAAGATGTCTTCAACAGGAACCACATTTGCTGTTGATCCTGGCTCTTGTCAAGGATTGTGAAAAGGCTAAATTAAATGCAGGTCTAACCCTCCCTCAGTGTTATCGCCCTCTTCTATCTCTCCTAGCTCTTTTGACCACTGGTTAAAAATTCTTTTTTTGGTAAACAATCTAAAGGCTTTTAGTAATTCAAGTAGACTTTGCTTGCTTGGGTATTCTGAAAGATGCCTCTAGTTCCAATCATTATGGCAGTGAAGGCAACAGTATGTGTGAAAAAGCATTTTCAGTCCCTTTCCTTGGACCTTGTGAAGCACACATCTAAAAAGCAGCAGTGTTGGAGGAAATGATGTAAGCTGTTATGATTTCTCATCATTGAGAACTTACTTTGTCCACAGGGGAAGAATACTTTAACAGGTCCTATAAAGGCTTCTTTTGGTTATTTCTGATCCCTCCCTCCAGACGTTTTAAAACTTAACAGAAAACAGACAAATCTAGTTTGACGTAGTTAGTTAAGAAACAAATGAGATCTATTTAATTGATCTAGATAGTTAGGTGTCCACAGGAAACACCATTCCAGCTGAGTATGGGGTAAGCAATATTTTAAAAAAAATCTTATTTATTTATTTTGAGAGACAGACTGAAGATAGAGAACAAGCAGGGGAGAGGCAGAGAGAAACCCAAGCAGACCGTACGGTGTCAGGGCAGAGCCCAGCACGGTCTCAAACCCACAAACCGTGAGATCATGACCGGAGCCAAAACCAAGAGTCAGACGCTTAACTGACTGAGCCACTCAGGCGCCTCTGGGGAAAGCAATATTAAAGAATAACTGAAGGTTACACTGAGATCACAGAAAATCATTATTGGAAATCATGTAGGTAAAAAAGAGTTCCTAGTTAGAAATTAATTTTTGAGCCAGTGACTATTTACAGGTTCAAATTTAACAGTTTTGTAATGAGAACATTTTTTCAATGTGTCAGTCAAGTATTATCCCTTCCTTCTCAATTGAAAGTGGTGTTGCCAATACTTAATATTACTTGAACTTCAAGTCCTCACTTTGTAGGACTTCCCCAGTACCCCAGTAGAGCTAATCATCTTTTCGAAGTTGCTATTTCAGAGTAGTGGCTCCCAAAGAGAGCTACATCTGTAGTTACCTAGAAAATGTGAGTGATCCACTGAATGGAAGCATGAAGAGTCAAAATCATTCAAAAAGTACATTCCGGGTTAGAAGTACTACAAGGATATTACATTGGGCACATCCTTATCATAGGCAGTGTCCATAGCAGAAATTAATCCAATTTGAAAAAGTAAGTTAAAAGCTTCATCATAAAGGGGCTCTTGGGTGGCTCAGTTGGTTGAACATCTGACTCTTGATTTCAGCTCAGGTCATGATCCTAAGGTTGTGGGATCGAACCCCACGTCACATATGCTGAGTGTGGACCCTGCTTGGGATTCTTTCTCTCTGTACCTCTCCTTTGCTCCCTTTCTCTAAAATTAAAAAACAAATAAATAAATAAACCCTTCATAATAAGACTTTTTACATTGGGGGAATATTAAAGATGCCACAAATCACAACCAAAGTGCTGATATTACTAAAATAAAATCCTGTCTCCAATTAACATAAATGCAAAATTTCTATTACTCTAAATTTTGGAATTTCTAATATCATTAGATTAACTTTTACTAAAGAATTGAATTTTCCTACCTGTAATGAGGCTAAAAAGCAAGAACAAGCATTTGTCTTAGACACAATTTCTATGTGACTGTTTTATACAATTGTAATTACATTTAAAATTGTTGGGAATAAAATATTGTTTGATGTCATTTTTAACTTCCCTGAACATTTATGAGCCAGAGGTTCATTTACAAGAAGGTATCAAGTACTGCTTGGGCTGCCTGTTTTATTCCTCTTAAAAAATACTACATAAGTTTTTTTAATCAAAACTTTATGAACATTTATGTTGGTGTAAAAATAGTTACTGAGATTTTTGTTTTCATTCTCATTTCTCAGGATATACTCCATTAAAACCAGATATTCATGTTGAGATACAACCAAGGATTCTTTGATCTTAGCCATTGCTTCTCAGCCAGAGGGAGGGTTCTGTCCCGCACCTGCCCAGGAAAAACCACAGTCCGTGACTGTCTAGCTCTCTTGGAATGAAATGCACAATCTGCAGCTTCCAGGAAGAATGTACATATGATGACTGGATAATGTGCTGACAGGTGGGCAAGTAAGGCTGTCCTCTCTGTCACTCGTTGTCATGAGCCTCCCAATCCCCACCACGGTCAGCTGCCTTACCTCAACTTCCCCATGTTGTGTGAGTCATTGCTTTGCTTATAAAGATAAAACCAAGAGCGGGAACACTTATCTTCCACAGAAACACAAAATGGATGTGCTTTTCCATTATGCTTGACTCTGTAACGAAAGCTCTAGGAAGTGAGTACAACATGAACTCATTCCTTCCGCCTCAGCAGACAGATGGATAGAGACATTCCAGTTTGTTTCCAGTCTTTTGTCTTCGGCGCATTTTTGGCATTTCCTTCAGGAAACTGGAGGTTGTGACCTAAGGTTTCCTTCGTGAACACACTTCTGTTTCCCACAGTAAACCTTACCCAGAAAGGACATCTACTCTGTTAGGTGAGGTTTATCTTCATTTCCCAACTGTGTCCTGTGCATATGCAATGACAGTGGAAAGCACAGACTCTGAAAGGAATAATAGGAACGAAGGGCCAAACACACCAAAATCCTTCAAATTAATTCCCAACGAAGATAACAATAATATTGAAACAAGAATGAGCTGTTAAAGTAACTCTGTGACGCTTACGAAGTGCCCTTCGCCTCATTGCAAAATTGGGAGAAATTAATGGCCAGGGTGCCAAAGCTTTCGGATATCATTGAAAGTTTTCAGATATGAGGGGTATACCACTCAGCCTACATTCTACACCTTGCTACTCCATGGATACTGTGTAGTTCCCATATTGTTCAAAAGATAGTCTGGGAGAAGCCAAGACAGTGTCTTGAAAAAAAGTGATTTAATATATTATCTCCCAGATCCATATCCCTATTTCCCCAGCATGTTGGTGGAAAGCCAAGAATGTAAGCTTTTGTTGATGAGTTTGAAATGACCATCGCATTTCACGATTTAAATTAGATTTACAACTACATTCTTGTATATTATTTCTTTAAGAGCCCATGTTTTAGGACCAAAATTATTGTGTATAAGTTAGTTTGACTTGAACGCAATTTAAAGCTCCAATAATAACATTTACTTGTCAGCGAGGTATTTAGAGGTTGGTGGTTTTCATCGCATTTTTTTTTACTACTCTTCAATGTTAACTTATTGAAGTTTCTCTTCCTGAAAAAGATAGAGTGGTTTTTAACAAACCACATTTTTTTTTCACACCCTAGTTTATCAAGGTAAAATCCTTTAAAGAATAACAGAAATTTGCCCTTAACTTTGATTCTAAAGATCCACATGGTCAAACAGGATGTCTTATTTTTTTAAAGAATGCTATTCACAGAGGAATCTTTAAAAAAATCAGTTTATTAATGTTTAAAAGTTGATAAAGCTATGTGCAAAATGATCCACAAAAGTCAGAAACCTATTAAATACTATTTTTTAAAAGACATTTCTCGGTTTAATTGCACTGAAAACCTTACTAAAGAGACAGCAATATATTTTTATTTTTTTGTAACATTTATACACATCTTTAATTGACTATTTAATGAACAGCTCTATTGAAAACCTTCTGGTATTCCCTATCAGTTAAAGTAATGCTTTAATGGCACAAGAGGGTTGTATTTTCTTAGGAAATACACGTTCAACGGTGTTAACACAGGTTAGAAAAGTCCAATAAAATGCTGAAACAAATACATTCAAAAATCACGGAAAGTACTTTTTAACACAACAAAACACAACCATCCCGTTGGTTGGATAATTCACACAACGCTCTGAAATAAACGTCCACGAAAGTGCCAAAGACAGATGTTGGATTTGTTAGACAAATTCATTAAGAAATCTCTCTTGGTTTACAAAGCCACACCCCCGTCAGTTTTCACCTCATTTTGCTTGTTTGATTCTCCTACCACACAAAGGGTCCCGGTTGATTTCATTTACATAAACTGGACTTACGCAGACTTCCTGCCACAATGCATAACGATGCTGTAACATATTTCACTGTAAAGTCGTTAAAAGAAAAAAAAATCAAAGTGACTTTAGCCAAATTCCAAAAACTGATCCAGTTTACGTGGCAACTTTGGCCTCAGCAAATAGAGTTGCTTTACATCTCCAGACCATCTCCATTCCTCCCGGTTTGCCTCCTGAACACAGCCTACCTGCTACCGACGATCAAGAAATGGACCGTGCCACACCCCCAGCTCTGATGAACGCCAGGTAGTTCAAATATAAAGTAACAGAATTTTAGAGGAGGGGTGTGAAGGGGAAGGGAGGGTGGGATATGCAGAGCACACCCAGAGACACAGAAGTGCACAAGCTCACTCGGGTTGGAAACTAAGGTGAGAGAAAACGTCTCCTCCAAGCTCTCCACAGATGCTTTCACACTGGGGCGTTTGTCTTAGAGGAGGGGCCAGATGAACCCTCCAGGAGCCTGACAATGCTAGACCTTTGGCTCAGTGCAAAATCAAAGCTCCAGGGCGGGGGGTAGGAAACAGATTCCAGGCGAGGACCTGATCTCCACCCTTCCCAGTGCATTGTACACAGGAACTAAACCACCAACACCCCGGCACCACCAGGCCGCGCTTACTCTGCCCCTTCCCCCCCTCCGTCTGGCTCCCAGCAGCTCCTCCTAGGCGGTGGTGGAGGCACACAGATTTTTTTTTTTTTTTCTCCAAACACTGGGTGGTGGGGTGACCATGCAAGAACTCTCCCCATGGGCTGGCAGCTTTCAGTTTTAGGAAGAAGAGTTGACATTTCCAGAGGACATAATGGTCTCTGGGTTGTCCCCATCGTCCTTCTGGGGGTGGGACGAGTTGTCTGACTTACTGCGGCTGAATTCCATGCCGGCAATGATGGGTCGCTTGAATTTGCCGGCAGAGTCTCCGCTGGGGCATTTGCAGCAGGACAGGATCCGGATGAAGGCCCGGCGCATCTCCTTGTTGGTCAGAGTATAAATGATGGGGTTGGTGCCGGAGTTGAGCACCGCCAGCACCAGGAAGTACTCCGCTCTGAAGAGGATGTCGCAGGTCTTCACCTTGCAGCCCACGTCCAGCAAGAGCAGGATGAAGAGGGGCGCCCAGCAGGCGATGAAGACACTCAGGACGATAATCACGGTCTTGAGCAGCGCCAGCGACTTCTCGGAGCTGCGGCTGGCCTTCGAAATGTTCTTGCGGAAGGTCAGCCGGCGGCTCCGAGTCCTGACCAAGGAGTAGATCCTGCAGTACAGGATGACGATGGCGAGCAGAAGCAGGGTGAAGACGGTGGTGCAGAATAGGATATAGTGCTTGTGGTAGAGCGGAAGGACAGTGGAGCAGCTGGACAGCATGTTGATGCAGTTCCAGCCCATGATGGGCAGGCCACCCAGGATGAGGGAGATGACCCAACAGGCACTGATCAGCAGGAAGGAGCGGAAGCTGTTGCTCCCATTGTGGAGCTTCATTTTCAGCATTGTGATATAGCGCTCGATGGCGATGGCTAGGAGGCTGAACACCGAGGCAGACAAGGCCACGAACATACTCCCTTCGCGCAGAAACCACTGGGCGGGGGTGAGCCTGTAGGTGGTGGCCCCAGACAAGAGCAGGTTGGCTGTGTAGGCCACTCCCGCCAACAGGTCTGAGAGGGCCAGGTTGCCAATAAAATAGTACATGGGTCGGTGGAACTTCTTGGTTTTCCAAATGGTCAGCAAGACAAAGATGTTCTCTAGGATGATTAAGCAGCAGATGAGAATGAACATGACGGAGCTCAGTTTAATGCCATTCTCCTCCGCGCTGATATTCAGTTTTCCCGTGTAGTTATAATGCCGGACGATAATGTCATAGTTGACATAGTCGGAGACATAACTGCGGTGGGTCTTCACCAGCGGGAGGCTGGTGGACCCCATGGTGCGCCGGGTCTCCAGGAATCCGGGGGTGGCGCTTCTCCAGAAGGACGCTAGAGGGCGAGGCCGAACACTTGCTGCGGTCCCGGGGGTTGGTTCGGTCAGAGAGTTCCAGGCTTTTTGTGTAGCTTTTCCTTGGCTGGAGAGGGCCTCGGAAACAGCAGCTTTAAACAAGGCACAAAGAGGAGAGAGTCAGGGGAAAAGCCACAGCACACTGGCATAATTCATTCTAGCCTAAGGCACTGCTCCAATTTTGTCATGGATTTAAGGAAACTTGGGGAAAGTGTAAAGAGAAGGATTTAAAACAAATTAAAATCTCATTTCTTGCAAAATAAAGGGAGCGGGGCTGGGGGAGGGCTAAGGGAAGGGAAGAAAAAAACAAAAATTTACCCAAACTGAAAACTCTCAACTGGACCAGAGGAAAACTCTCTATGTCACATCCCAATAGAAATGGGAACACTAGAGGAGCAAGCCTCATTTAACACCCCTTCCGCTCCCTCACTCTCCCACCACTAACCCCCTCCAGGTTTCCAGCTTGGAGGTTCTCTGAAGCATTCGCCCTCTCAGCAGCGGGTTCACCACCAGCTCTTGGTCTCTCCTCGGAAGAGACCCAACCGCCAATATGTGGGTGGAGACGCACACCACCCCCCAGCTAAAAGAACAGAGAACCACCTCCTAATTGTCATGCAAGGCATTAGATTTGCACGAAAATCATTTGACAGAGTAAGTCATTCTTTGGGCTCTATTAATAACTCTCTAGGAACAGGTGTGCTTAGGGTCCGAGGGCGCCGCGTGGTGTGGGCAGCCAAGCCCGCCCTGGCCTTGCGGTAAACAGGAAAGCTTAACGCCTCTGTGAAGCAACTGCCTTTTCTTTCTTCTTCTCCTTCTTCTCCTTCTTCTTCTTCTTCTGTTTTTTTTTTTTCTTTTTCTTGTAACCCAGTGCAAGAAAATATAAAGGTTCCGTGGAAATCATTCACGAGAGATTGCAATAAATCCCAGGAGTTTTGTGCATTCATTGATTGCAGACGGAGTATGTTTAGTTACTGTGGGTTTGGCCAACACACACGCGCACACACACAAAAGAGATGAGTTATACTACTAACGATAACAATACGTGCCACTGCATTCCTAATTCCAGGTGCAAAGCTACTGTCCAGAAGCATGCACGTACGTCTGGTGCATTGCTAAACTAGAGGCGGCAGTTTCATTTACTGCCCTCCCCCAACATGTTGCCTCCTCTCACAGGGCTACAAAGTGTGGAGAGAATGAAACATGGCACTGGTTGGCAGAAGTCTACTTGGAACTCGTTGAAATGTTTCAAGGTAACGCCGCAACGTGATAGTGATAGAAGTGGCATAACAGAGAGCAGTTCCTGGGACAGCAGGGGCTGCTCGTGCCCAGAAACTCGGCATTTCTCCCATCTAATTCCGCACCCTCCTCGCCGGCAGTGCAAGTTTAAGCCCTTACACCGCACCCCCCGCCCCATATTCTTTGTCTATAAGATTTCCAAAAATAAGCCCCTTCCCCCACCCCTCTGCGACCAACCGCAGTTTCCACTATCCCCCACGTCTAGTCGGTTTTACAACCGGACTGAACCCTTCTTCCAAACTTCATAAATCACAAGTGCCCCAAGTACAGTCCGACGGACCGGGCTTCGTAGCCCAGGGATGAATCGTTCTAGCGCCCAGAGATGGATGTTTCAGAAGTTTCTGTTTTGCTTCGTTCCGGTTTAAAAATTCGTTTCTCACACTGACGACTTCCCGCAGCGGGGGTCCCCGCGCACCCCCGGCCCGCGCTGGCAACGCGCTCGGCCCCTTACCTCGCTCAGGCAGGACGAAGTTGCGCTGGGCGAGCTCTGGGTCTCCACTGCGCGCTCCGCATCTTGCTGCTGTCCCCGACCGACTGCGACGCTCTAGAAACTTAACTCGAGTCGGGGTCTCCTCCCTCCGCAGCCGCGCACTCCAATGGCCAGCCCTGCTCGCCGCGGCCCGCGCCGGCCCGCTAGCTGAAGTCACCGAGCGCCCCGCTGAGGCTGGGTGGCTTCCCTAGGAAGCGGCGGGGAGGGGTTAACATCTCAACCCCACGCCCTCCGCCTGCGGCCGCGGGCCTCCGGATCTCAGCTTCGGAGACTCACTGTCCAGGAAAGATCTGGGGCAGAAGCAAGCGCAATTGCGCGCGCGCGCGCACACACACACACACACACACACACACACACACACACACGTGTGCACACACCCTCCTCCCCCACAGGCAACCGAAAAAAAAAGAAAAAAGAAAGAAAAGAGAACAGAGAAGGGACGGAGGCTGGTGCCCCCTGGACTCTGATGCATAAATCACAGCCCTCGCCCTGAGGTCTGCCGCTCCCGGTGACCATTCTCCCGAGTCTTAGGCAAGAGAGGAGGTGGGGAGCCTTTGGAAAGTTTTCTCCTGAAAAGTCTTAGGGGGCAGAGGACGGCCCGGCGTCTCGCAGCTCATCTCCCTGGTTCCAGCCCCCGCAAGTTCTCCATTGCACTGGAGTCCCGAGATCGTGGCGCGGCGCCCCCCACCCCCACCCCCCTCACCCCCCGAGACCCCACGAGTCCCCGGCGGCGCTCTGGGGAGAGGCTGGCAAGGGGCTGCGAGACACACGGAGGAGATATGCAGCAGCCTAGAAGGGAGAATGGCCCGGGAGGTTCCTCTACTTCTCCCCACCCCCATCCCACCGCTGCCTGAAAACTTGTGGTCTGAGGGGCAGAAGGTGACTGTCGCGGGACTCGTGACGAAATGGGCTAACGCCCGGCGAGAAGTGGGGCTGGTGTTCTCTTCACTCAGCTGGGCACAAGGTCAGGTCGTGTGTCCCAGATTCCGAGACCTTTGGGGAGGTGGGCAGCTGCTGGGGCCTGAGAGATTTTAAAAAGCTTGGGCAGCTCAAGAATTTCCAAAAGGGAAGAGCCGCAGGACCCAGCCATTGTAGTCTGAGGCCAGTGACCTTCTCTCCCTTTCTACTTGGGAGGATTCAGAGGCCCCCACCCCTCAGACTCCCAACACGCCCACCCACTCTTTTCTTCCGCTTTGATGCTACTTCAGAAGGTGAGACTTAGAGGCAGCCTTGGTCAGCCGCCTAAGGGGATAGGCGCAGAGCACTTCTGCCCTGCTCTGCTGCTACATAGACTTCCACCCAGTCCCTGGTCGCGCTGGCTTCCCATCCTGGCAGATGTGAACCCAAAACGTCTCCGTGTGCAGTTTCAATTGACAGACACACCCTGTACCTGAATGACTCAGAAGGAGGTTGAATGAATAAACAACAGACCCCTGACTTCTGGGATCTTATGATTTTGCGAAAGAAATCTAGTGACAGTTAAAAATCAAGTTCACAGCTGCCTTGAAGTCAGCATCAACGGAGTTGCCAGGAGCACATAGCCACAAAACAATAGTACGTGCATATAACATGGAAATGAAGATAAGTGTTCTTTAGACTTTAGAATAGGCTCTGGTTGGGTTTGAGGACTTATTTATTTAAAAGGAAAAAAAAAGTCTACCCTGCACCACATAAGGTGTGGACTTGGCAAAATCCACCCCATCCACTAATTTATGAGTTCTTTGAAGGGAAAGGAATTAAAGCAACTTGCATACCCAAACTCTATCATGATAGATTATCTAAATATATTTTTTAAAATTTTTATTTATTTTTGAGAGAGACACACACACATTATGAGCAGGGGAGGGGCAGAGAGAGAGAGGGAGACACAGAATCTGAAGCAGGCTTCAGGCTCTGAACCATTAGCACAGAGCCAAATATGGGGCTCGAACTCACGAACTGTGAGATCATGACCTGAGCTGAAGTTGGACACTTAACCAACAGAGCCACCCAGGCACCCTTATCATGATAGATTTTCTGATTTGAACAAGCATTGTTATTCATTCTACTGATGAGAGAAACGTCACTCAGACAGCTTAAATCACTAGGTAGCCCAGACTGGGTTCCAAAACATAATGAGTGCAGTTGCCATGTCTCCTAGTTAAAACACCTGCAGTTAATACACAGTGAAGGAATTGAGGTGTATGTCCTCTGAAGGGAAGCAAACCTTTGGTTTTAAAAATTTTTAAACTGTAAGGTGCCTCAGTGGCTCAGTCCCTTAAGTGACCAACTCTTGATTTTGGCTCAGGCCATGATGCCACGGCATGAGACTGAGTACCCCCCTTGGAACCTGCTTAGGATTTTCTCCCTCTCTCTCTCTCTGCCGTTTCCCTGCTCGCTTGCTCTCTCTCAAAATAAATAATTTAAAAAAGAAAAGAAAAAATTTAAATTGTACTGATCTCTTGGCTATATATGTATAAGATGTAAACAAAGATATGCTAGTGAATGTCCTTTTAAAACCACTTACCTCTGGGGCACCTGGGTGGCTCAGTCATTAAGCGGCCGACTTAGGCTGAGGTCATGATCTTGCGGTTGGTGGGTTCGAGCCCCGAGTCAGGCTCTGTGCTGACAGCCAGCTCAGAGCCTGAAGCCTGTTTCAGATTCTGTATCTTCCTCTCTCTCTGACCCTCCGCTGCTAACGCTGTGTGTGTGTCTCTCTCTCTCAGAAATAAATAAAACATTTAAAAATAAATAAATGAATAAAACCACTTATTTCCTAACCATGCAAGTCTATGAAACATATAAAAGTATGTTAATAAATGTTTTTTTCACCAGAAAGCATTCTTTTGCTGAAATACTTTGTTAAATTAAACTTATTTTATTAAATTATTAAATGTTACATTCTTTATTAAAATACATTTATTTTTATTTTTACCACCTTTTAAATTATTAAGCCTTTTTAGAAGAGTAGTTTTCGGGTCACAGCAAAATTGAGTGGGAAGCGCGGGCATTTCCCATAGCCCCCATGCCCCACACATGCATGGCTTCTCCCACCAGCAACATCCCAACCAGAATGTACCTTTGTTACAGTCGATGGCGCTACACTGACACATTATAACCATCCATAGTGTGTAGTTTCTGGTGCAGTTCACTGTTGAGGTTGTACATTCTGTGGAGTTGGACAAACATATAATGACATGTATCCGTGATTCCGGTACCATGTGTAATAATCCATGCGTAGTATTTTTACTGCCCTAAAAATCCTCTGTGCTCTGTCTATGTATGTCTCCCCTCCCCCATGAATGTCTTTTTAAAAAACCACTGATTTCCTGACTATATATTTCCTGACAAAGTGTATACAAATGTATAATGAATAATGAATAATGAATTAAATAATGAATGTTAAAACTTCTCATTATCCGCCTCTAACATTTAATGTAAGGTTGTACATTTGGGTACCAGATTCTAAGTATTATACATATTAATTAATTTAATCCTTCCGATGACCCTAACAGTTAGGAATTATTATTACCCAAATTGTACAAAGAAGGAAACTGAGTCTCAGACGTATTATATTAAGTAACTTGGTTAACGTGGGCTGTGACCATAGATGGATTGGAGCCTCTTAACCACTAGTACAAACCACCACGATAAACCTCAAAACATGTCAAAGAATTACGTCGGGGAGATCAGTCTTTTTCTTGTGAATACCGCTGGTGAGGGCAACATTCATTCAGTATTAATCCAGTGTTTTAAAGAGCTCTAGTCCTTTGCAGATGATTACTTAGCATTCTCCATCCTTAGTGCACACCTTTAAGATACAAAATGCAAAGTTGGAAAGCAGGGCAAAACAATCTGCAGCAAATGGCTTCCCTGCCGGTTCCCAGTCTCTGGTTCCCACACATATCTCTTCCCATTACTCTCAGGAGAGGCCCTAAGAATTGCATCCTCAAGCTATCTCCTGGCTCTCAGCCCAGCTGCCTTTCCTCTGCTGCCTAGAAGGCCAGCCCAGTGTTTTACCTCACTTCTCCTGGCAATGAGGTTGCCATCTGATGCCCAATTCACACTGAGGTTGCTCCATTCCACATTTCTTATTTCAAAGCAACTTTACTGTTGTTTATGCATGCACTACTATCTCTCTTTAAGGGTTGCCAGAGAAAATACTATGTAATATATGGGACTTATACCAAAAACATTATGTGTCACTAATCTGCAATTCAAATTTAACTGAGTGAGCTGTATTTTTATTTGCTAAGGCTGGCAACTCTACTCTTCTTTCCTAAATGCTCCAGGTACTTTCCAACTCCTCC